TTCTCTGGCAAAGAACTGAGATCTGCTGGGACTCACAGTCAGAGCAGCTGCTGGAATGAAAAAGTTCTGCTTGTTTCTCTTCTTGTCAAAGATTCAAAGTTTCTAATAAAACCATCAACCTAAAACAGATCCTGTTTGTTTCTCATGGCTGCTTTAAACAGCAGCTTTAAATGATCATCAAACCATCTTCAGGAATTTGTTTTGTGTTAAAAATATATTTTTACCAAGTTGTTTTAGAACATTTTTAATCAAACTGTTTCTATGATTGAACTGAACTGATTCTTTGATAGAGTAATTCCTTTTAACACATAAGCACTAAATTAGACATATAACAATTAAGAACGACATTAATTCTAATATTTACACACTACATTCACATTTTTTATTTGTTTGTTTAAAATAGCGTAATTCATTAAAGTACCACAAGGTGATATTTATGGTGAAATTTGTGCTGCATAAATGAAATGAAATGATTTAAATTAGAAAGCAACATCAATATTTCAGCAGCACCTAGATCCTAACCTGGTATCTAGAAGCCACTTTTAAAATATTGTCATTTTCAACTCATGTATGAAACTTTTCAAATGTTAAATGCCACTTTTTAACTTTAACTGACACACGCCAGCTAAAAAGTAGCTTTGTTTTCCAAAAGCTGGTAAACCAGATATCACTCTTGTCTTTCACTGTCACTATTTTTTAACATCCACAGTTTTCAGGGATTAAACCAACCTTTGTTTGTTGTGCAGCGAGTCGCCAAAACCAGACCTGAAAAGGTAAAAAACATCACCGTGAATTATTAGATTGTTTCCATGAATATGTAAATATTTCACTATGGAAAAATGGAAAGTAATCTTAAAATATTGGCAGATTTCAGATGGATCAACAAATAGTGTTCAGTGGGTTTTACCACCTTAAACAATCAGCCCATCTATAAATGTGTTGTTATTCTATAGACATATAACCTTTTATACCATGCCAACTTTATTTATAAAGCACTCTGAAACATTCCCAGCTGATAGAAGATGCTGCACATGATTGATTAGCTAATCTACCTAATCTACCACTGCTTCTGATCATTTAAAGAAACCTAACTACAGTCTGAGCTTAAAGAATCACATCTATGTTTCCTATGGCGTCATTTCTGTGTGTTTGACTTTGTCCTAAAATAAGAACAAAATGATCTCCTTAGTCCTCCCAGTTCAAGCATTCAGTCCTGTTCTGACATCTTAAACTCAGGCAAAGAGAGTTTAATTAAACACAGCTATTATTTTGGGTTCATCTGTTTTTCATTTCATTACTTCTCTAATCAAAGTGCTTTGAAATGCAGGAAGGAGGGGCTGAGTGCAGCCTGCAAACTGCTGCAGGAAAGAACTGAGACAGAGGAGAGAGAGAGCAGAGAGACAGCATGCAGAGAAAGAAAGAGCTAAATACAGAAAAAACACTAAATGTGGAAACTGAATTCAACATTTGTTAACAACGGCTGCATTAGATTGGAAATGTACATATTCTGAGTCCCATGGTTCTAATTATTCTATATTTGGGGTTTTTTCAAGTTATGAACTTTAAATATTTATATTAGCCTTTTATTAACATGATCTTTAAATAATGTGAATTCCATTTTAACCAATTTTGTAAAGTTACATATTTTGTAACCCTGCCCCTCCAAATAAAAACTGAAAATAGGATTTTAACCTTCCTAAAAGTTTTTTTTTTAAATTATTGCCTTTTTATGTGATATTTGTGACAGTAAATAAATTTGCTTAATGAATGGTAAATATTCTAATTTAATTAGGACCTTCTACGTTTAAATCTCTTTACACTAGAGCCACATTCACTCAACCATAGTGAAAAACAAATACAGTAATAAAACAAAAAAAAGGATGGGCAATGACTTGAAGGCACAAACTACTACAGTGACTCGCCTCCATGTTCTGAATGCTGGCGTACCATCAAGAATAAATTATGAACAGTGTAGTTTGTGCCTTCAAGTCGTTGCCCATAGGAAGACGTTACTTGGATATAACCTAACGGAATATCTTCAGAACGGCTCCAAATGACACTAAACTCATATGGGTGAGTAGAACATGATAAAAAAAAACTGTGTTCCCCTTTAAGCCTTTTATCATTAAAAAAGCCGTTAAGAAACAATGCTTTGTTGCAGGAAACCTTCACAGCGTCCACCATTACTGGATAATAATGAAAAATAACCGTTGTACTTACAGAGGAGCACTCTGACAGATGCTTCCTTCATTGCAGCTCTCAGTGTGTGGACAGTTTATTTCAGTGACTGTAGTAGACAGCAACTAGAACCCGCCCTCTTCCTGTGAGGCTTAAACCTTTTTGGAGGTTGAGGAAGTGATTCAGTTAAAACAAATGAACTGATGAAGCTACAATATAAACATGGCTCATTATTTCATTGAGCTTAAAGTTCTCAGTTCTGTGCAGCTGCTGCTTCTGTTCAAAGTTTTGATGATAGCAGTGGAGGTTCTAGACCGATTTCAACAGGGAGGCGAGGTTGGGGCCCGCCTTTTTTCAAGGAGGAACAAAAAAAAAATGTAAATGAGCAGAGGAATTAAAGAGTCACCATTATCCTCTGTTTGGCAGTTTCACTTTACTTGCAACACAAAGATTATTTCTGGCTCCTCTTTTCCATTAATAGAAAAAAAATGTTCAAATAGAGCATCCCAGAAATGCTAATTTGCACTTCAGAAGCAAAAATATTTCACACTCAAAAGCAAACAAGATAAAACAATAAATAATTTAAATATATAAGGCTCAATAGTCAGTCTGTCAATCACTAAAGCCTTTCAACCAGTGATTACATTGAGCACATGAAGCATGAGGCATGAGTTTGCAAAGAACAGTATTAGCCTTTTCTCACCTTCTCTCTGTGAGAAAAGGTTTCTCACACTACACACTACAGTTTTAACAGGAAGAAACCTCCAGCAGCACCAGACTTGGTGTGGTTGGCCTTTAGCAGATGGTGATTGGGGGCTCATGGTGTCATGATTCTTGGCACTAGTGCTGGTTTAATTCATCATTCAACACCCCTGTCAGCTCTGCCCCGTCCATCAGATTCACCTGAATGCCCCTGATGGACTGATGCCCCGTCCATCAGATTCACCTGAATGCCCCTGATGGACTGATGCCCCGTCCAAACCAGTTCTCAGACCAGTCACTAGTGCCAGATTATTTGCTGAATTTAGTCCAGGATTGTTACCTTTCTGCCTGTCTGATTCTGACCTCATTCTGCCTCTCAGTCTGCCTGAACCCTGTCTGACCTGTCATAGTGGGTTTCTGGATCTCTGACCTTGTTTCTGTGCACCTGGATTCTCCCCTGGATTGTCTCTGGACACATAGCTCTGACTCTGACCCCATTCTTGGATTCCCCTCTTGATTGTCTTTGGATCTCAAATCATTTCTTGGTGACTGTGTGTAAATTTGTTCTCTGCATTGGGGAGCAGTGGGCCCGCAGTGTGTGGTGCCCAGGGAGCAATCAGGGGTTAAGGGTTTTGCTCAGGAACCTTGAATAGAGGCTGTGGGGATCAAACCGGACATGCAACCTTCTCAGAGCACAAGCGCAGTGCACTGACCCACTAGGCCAACACTCTCCTTCTGTAACCATGGCCTTGTGCATTCTCCTGGACCAACAAGTGACTGTCAAGGAAGGATTCCTCCAAACTAACCTGGATGGATTCAAGAATCCTCAGAGATTCACCAGTGACATCACACCACAACGGGATTCTTCAAAAACTTGCAAAGATTGTCCTGAAACTCAGAGAAAGTTAGTGAACCTTTGGAAACATTGCTCTTGGTTTCTGCCTGGCCACTTACCTGTCCAGTCTCTCTCCAGAAGTTCTGTTTGCTGACTCTGGAGAATCCTTCCAGAACTGCAGCAGTTTCATATTTTAGTAAACTGTTTAAACTGCATCTGGTGCATCTGGTTGAACTCTGGATCTCCTGTTTTCTGGTCATTACACAAGGAGATACAGTAGCAGCATATATACAGCATATATAAAGAAGCATATATACAGTTTTTACTTGCCTCCCAATAGTTATTTCTAGACTGATAAGAACATTTAGGCCTACATTTGATAAACTTTCTAATTTGTTGTCGAATGTTTTTTACTGAAGCTTGTGTGATTTTTTCTGTCTTCTCCTCTTGCTGCGTTTACCTCATATATGTTGGGATCCAGAGGCTTGCCCTCCAGAGGGCGCAGAGGATCCCCTCCTGTTGTATGTTTTTCTGTTGGGACTTGGGTTTCTGTTGGGATCTGGAGATCGGCCACCTGTCTCCAGCAGAGAGCGCTGTGGGTCTCCTGGGCTGGAGCCCTCAGCACACCTGAGGATCGTCAGCTCATCTGGAGACCTCCTACATAAGCAGCAGTAAGACCTTCCTTCAACGCCGCAGTGTTGACCAAGTTTGGTTAGCGAACCTGAGCCTCTGTTAACCTTAAGAGAATCTTAGTTGGCCCTAGAGAGAAACTAGATTCTAACCTGCCTCTGTCTTTGCTCACAGAAAACCCGACTGAAGTCTGAAGCTCTGGATGAGCTTTACCTAGAAACCTGCCTGCCTGCCCAAGGTAGCAAAACCCGAAGACATCAGTCTGGATTCCTCCAACAGCTCTCAAGGAAGAGCTAGGAAACCAAGTCAAGGTCTGAAACTCACGAGTCAGAAGCTAGACGCTGCTGCCGCTGAGCTCCCTGCTAAATCTACAATCTCTGGACCCAACCGGTTCCCCCTCTCTCAAAGGATCTGCCTGAACCTCATCTAGGTACATTCTGAATTTACACACACGATAAGCCATCTCGCTGCCTGGCTAATCAAACTATCCATCTCTGCAGATGTCAGTGATTCCAGTCCCGGACCAGTACCAGAACCAGTTCATAATTACTGTGTGTGTCCCTTCAATAAACTCTGTTAAACTTTTACTCAGCTTCCTGTGGTGTTCTGCATATGGGTTCAGTCTCTTAAGCCTATCATGACAATATAACTGTTACCCTCAGAGCCCAAAGAAAAGTTTAAAAAATGAGTTCATACTGTTGAAGATCAAATGTGATAAATCAAGAGTGACTCCCCCCTTGACGTCACATCCCTGATTACTGAAGCAGCCGACTCCCATTTAACCTTTCTTGCCTGCGACTTTGAGGCCTAGGAAGGGGAGACATATGCTGGTTTTCAGCTGAGGCTACGTCTGTAGACACCAAATCACCTCTGGAGAAGAACCTCTGTTTACTGGCCGACTCAGACTGCTTAGAATTCAGAAAGAGCTGAATTCCTTTTTTTTTTTTTCTGCCTTTCAAACCAACTTGAACGCAGAGTTTTATGAACCTGCCTGCTGAAGCAGATGAGAAAACTATCTAATTCTGGCTGGCCCACATTGCAGCCCAATTCCTGCTTTCAGGAGCGGCTAGAAGCCGCTGACCTTTTTCTATACTGGCTCTGCCACTGCCTTGAACTGTGAAACCACCGCACAGATAAAGATCATTTAGCAGCTCCACTAAATGTCATCATAGTGTTATAGAGCACTAATCTATAAAAGCTTCAGCTAACTGCTTGATTGACAAATGTTTAAATTCTATTTTTTTTAGATGAACGACAGAAATAAGGAAAACATTTATCTACTCAAAAATGATTTATTTATTGCAGGATCCTCCATATATTTTCTGAGTAGCTTTGACTCATTTCTGACATTTTCATTCAGACTATATTTCATGTCAGTGAACATAATGCCAATGTTTCAAGCTGTATGCAAAATAGTAACATAGGAGTCCTTTGAATCTTTTTCAGTTCTTCCTGAATAAAATCAACTTCACACTTTGACCAACCAGCGTGTTGATGACACAGGTTACATCTGCCTAAAATGACCCTTTATTGGCTGGTTAATAACAGCTGATTGGTATAAAAACACTCAACATGAATCTAGTTCAGAAAACATCCTATAATGTTTCAATAGAGGACGTCACTTTCTGAAATAATCTGAGCTCTTTGAATAAAAGTCTTTTTCCTGAAATCCTTTTATTTCTAAAACACCAACAGATGTTAGTGTTTTAGCAATAAAACCTTCTCTGTCTTTATCAAAATGTCTGTCAAACATAATGAAGTTCAGATAAAGTGATCAGAGGGGAAAATTGATCTAAATCTTATATTTTATCTTCTTCCCAACAGGAGCTCAGAAATCAAACAGTTCTTAAAGTTCTGGTGTCATCCATAAAAATAAAAAATAAAAGAACCAATTCGCCTTCATTTGATTTCTATCAATGATGATGTTAATCATTGACGTTACTGTAAGTAATACTTTGTCCTTCTATGTCTTGATTCCCTAAAATAAAACAAACAAAAAATGCTTTAAGATCAGCGATATTAACCTTTGACACGTAACAGAGGATAGATGACCAAGGTTCCTCTAACCTTCAGATTTCCTCTGAAAGCATCGTCTCCTCAGCAGAACCAGCAGCAGAACCACAAGAATCATCTTTGAAAGTAACGGGAGAAGGTAGGAAGGAAAGTAGCAGAGAGATGAAGAAGATGTTGTAGAAGGAGGAGAAGTTGGAGGATCAGGAGTTGATGGTTTCTCTGAAGTAAAGATATTTATCAAATAATTACTAATAATGTTTTTTAAACTAATATGAAACATTGTTTTCATGGATCTGACCTTCAACAGAGATCCAGCTGGATGGAGACTCTCCATGACCACTGATGTTACACCTGTAGAGGCCTTCTTCAGAGCTGGTCACATGGTGGAGGGTCATGTGACCTTTGGGCTCAGTCCTGATGAGGGAGCCATCTTTATAGAAAGTAGCTGGGAGGTTGGAGGGAGTGGTCTTTGTTAGACAGCTCAGAGTGACGTCATCTCCCTCCATCACAGGGAGGACAGGACTCTGCAGGATCACTGATCCACCTCAACACAGAGACAAACTACAGCATTTCATCCATTTCCACACAGCTTCATCAACACTAACTCCACAGTCTGATCTTACCAGTGACAGTGAGCTGGATGCTGCTGCTGGCTGCTCCCTCTCTGGACGACCAACACCAGTAAACTCCACTGTCTGATGGGAGCAACCAGCTGATCTTACAGGTAGAACCAGCTGGTTTCCCCCATCCATCTCCACACTGAGTCCTGGTTCCTCTGGTTGTGTTCCTCCATACAGTCCATCCAGCAGAGCTGCTGTTCTCCTCACAGCTCAGAGACACAGATTCTCTGGTAAAGAACTGAGATCTGCTGGGACTCACAGTCAGAGCAGCTGCTGAAATGAAAATGTTCTGCTTGTTTCTCTTCTTGTCAAAGATTCAAAGTTTCTAATAAAACCATCAACCTAAAACAGATCCTGTTTGTTTCTCATGGCTGCTTTAAACAGCAGCTTTAAATGATTATCAAACCATCTTCAGGAATTTGGTTTGTGTTAAAAATATATTTTTACCAAGTTATTTTAGAACATTTTTAATCAAACTGTTTCTATGATTAAACTGAACTGATTCTTTGATAGAGTCATTCCTTTTAACACATAAGCACTAAATTAGACATATAACAATTAAGAATGACATTAATTCTAATATTCACACACTACATTCACATTTTTTATTTGTTTGTTTAAAATAGCGTAATTCATTAAAGTACCACAAGGTGATATTTATGGTGAAATTTGTGCTGCATAAATGAAATGAAATGATTTAAATTAGAAAGCAACATCAATATTTCAGCAGCACCTAGATCCTAACCTGGTATCTAGAAGCCACTTTTGAAATATTGTCATTTTCAACTCATGTATGAAACTTTTCAAATGTTAAATGCAACTTTTTAACTTTAACTGACACACGCCAGCTAAAAAGTGGCATTTACTGTTTGCTTTTTTTCAAAGCTGGCAAACCAGATATCACTCTTGTCTTTCACTGTCACTATTTTTTAACAAAATATCCATAGTTTTCAGGGATTAAACCAACCTTTGTTTGTTGTGCAGCGAGTCGCCAAAACCAGACCTGAAAAGGTAAAAAACATGACTGTGAATTATTAGATTGTTTCCATAAATATGTAAATATTTCACTATGGAAAAATGGAAAGTAATCTTAAATTCATCAGCAGATTTCAGATGGATCAACAAATAGTGTTCAGTGGGTTTTACCACCTTAAACAATCAGCCCATCTATAAATGTGTTGTTATTCATTAGACAGATAACCTTTTATACCATGCCAACTTTATTTATAAAGCACTCTGAAACATTCCCAGCTGATAGAAGATGCTGCACATGATTGATTAGCTAATCTACCTAATCTACCACTGCTTCTGATCATTTAAAGAAACCTAACTACAGTCTGAGCTTAAACAATCACATCTATGTTTCCTATGGCGTCATTTCTGTGTGTTTGACTTTGTCCTAAAATAAGAACGAAATGATCTCCTTAGTCCTCCCAGTTCAAGCATTCAGTCCTGTTCTGACATCTTAAACTCAGACAAAGAGAGTTTAATTAAACACAGCTATTATTTTGGGTTCATCTGTTTTTCATTTCATTACTTCTCTAATCAAAGTGCTTTGAAATGCAGGAAGGAGGGGCTGAGTGCAGCCTGCAAACTGCTGCAGGAAAGAACTGAGACAGAGGAGAGAGAGAGCAGAGAGACAGCATGCAGAGAAAGAAAGAGCTAAATACAGAAAAACACTAAATGTGGAAACTGAATTTAACATTTGTTAACAACGGCTGCATTAGATTGGAAATGTACATATTCTGAGTCACATGGTTCTAATTATTCTATCTTTGGGTTTTTTTCAAGTTATGAAGTTTAAATATTTATATTAGCCTGTTTTTTACATGATCTTTAAATAATAAATGTGAATTCCATTTCAACCAATTTTTTAAAGTTACATATTTTGTAACCCTGTCCCTCCAAATAAAAACTGAAAATAGGATTTTAACCTTCCTAAAAGGTTTTAAAATTCTAACCTTTTTGTTATATATTTGTGACAGTCATTAAATCTGCTTTATGACTGGATAATAATAATGAGAAATAACTGTTGTACTTACAGAGGAGCACTCTGACAGATGCTTCCTTCATTGCAGCTCTCAGTGTGTGGACAGTTTATTTCAGTGACTGTAGTAGACAGCAACTAGAACCCCCCCTCTTCCTGTGAGGCTCAAACCTTTTTTAGGTTGAGGAAGTGATTCAGTTAAAAATGAATTGATGAAGATACAATATAAATGTGGCTCATTATTTCATTGAGCTTAAAGCTCTCAGTTCTGTGCAGCTGCTGCTTCTGTTCAAAGTTTTGATGATAGCAGTGGAGGTTCTAGACCAACTTCAACAGGGGGGCCAGGGTGGGGCCCGCCTTTATTCAAGGAGGAACAGAAAAAAAACACGTTAAACAAAAAACAGAAACAGTAGTATATTTTATATATTAAATGAGCAGAGGAATTAAAGAGTCACCCTTATCCTCTGTTTGGCGGTTTCACTTTACTTAAAACACAACGATTATTTCTGGCTCCTCTTTTCCATTAATAGAAAAAAATGTTCAAATAGAGCGTCCCAGAAATGCTAATTTGCACTTTAGAAGCAATAAAAATATTTCACACTCATAAGCAAACAAGATAAAACAATTGTTATGGTTCTCATTAGTTGTTGTTTTCTGTTATCAGTTGTTTTGTTTTTTATTTTCCATAATATTCTAGCATTCTTTAGTTACTCTCTGTTGCCCCCTTGTGATTGTTTTCTGTCCCCTTGGATTCCCTTGCCAGTTCCACCCACTCACTGCTCCTCATTCAGCTCGTTAGTCCATCCTTTGTTTTGTTCTCCTTAAATACTCCACCTCTGCAGTCACTCAGTGCTGGTTCCTTCTCTATGCTGTACTCGTCTACTCACTTCATCTCCCCGTGGCTCCTCAGGCTCATTTTTCCCCTGATGTCTCCATGGTTTTTGGTTTGTTAAACATTTTAGTTAGATTTCTGGATTTGTACCTCTGTTTCCTTGTTCTTCAATTAAACCTGTCAGAACTAATCTCTGCTTCACTCGGCTCTGCATCTGGGTCCTTAAGCAACCTTACCCCCCGCTTGTGACAACAATAAATAATGTAAATATATAAGGCTCAATGAAATGAAATATCTAAGGTGTTTTATGTTCTCAGTTTGTCAATCACTAAAGCCTTTCAACCAATGATTACATTGAGCACATGAAGCATGAGGCATGAGTTTGCAAAGAACAGTATCAGCCTTTTCTCATCCTCTGGTCATTACACAAGGAGATACAGTAGAAGCATATATACAGCATATATAAAGAAGCATATATACAGTTTTTACTTGCCTCCCGATAGTTATTTCTAGATTGATAAGAACATGTAGGTCTACATTTGATAAACTTTCTAATTGGCTGTCGAATGTTTTTTACTGGAGCTTGTGTGATTTTTCCGTCTTCTTCTCTTGCTGTGTTTACCTCATATAACTGTTACCTCAGAGCCCAAAGGAAAGTTTAAAAAATGAGTTCATACTGTTGAAGATCAAATGTGACAAATCAAGAGCGACTCCCCCTTGACGTCACATCCCTGATTACTGAAGCAGCCGACTCCTATTCAACACTCTCTCTTGCCTGCGACTTTGAGGCCTCGGTAAGGGAGACATTTACCTGACTCCACCAGATGGATTTGCTCCGCATATCCATCTGGGAACCTTCCGTTGAAGTAATTTTGGGAAGGGGGGAAAATACTGGTTAGCTGATTGGCCTATGTTGGTGATAGACGGGCCAAATAAACCAATCAGATCAACGAAGCATATGACGTACTAACAGAGCGATGACGAAGAGGAGCAAACTGATAGATCAAACTCTTGCCGAAACCAGTCGGGAGAAGAGCAAAAACATCTTTTCCTCTGAGAAAAGCCTCCAGAGCAGTGTTTTGCTCTTCTTTCAGTGAAGAAATACTCTGTAATTCCGATAAAACTTGCTCGATAGCCACGCTAAGGCTAGTTTCATTGGCTGAAGCCGCCATGTTCTTTAGACTGAACTGTCGCGCTTCTCGTTGCGTCACACCTCAACCTGCCTCAAAGCCAACGCTGATTGGACGTTCGTTTGGTGAACGGCTCCACATTTTCTTTAACGGAGAGTCTCCAGACTGATATGCGAGTGAAACCTTGAAAGCTCGCGAGATCAGGATGGTCTCACGAGGCTAGGGAGACATATGCTGGATTTCAGCTGAGGCTACGTCTGTAGCCACTGTTAAAGAAAAATGATTATTTTTAGTTTTTAATACAGTTAATCTTATGGCATGTGTAAAAGGTATGTTGAACACTCTCATTTTCAACATATTTCTTAATTTTGAACAAGTTTGTGAAGATAACCTTTCCTTGAACCAAATTACTGAATTTAAGTTTGTTCCTGAGAATTTATGGCAGGAAGAGGCCCCGCATTCCACAGCTATTTTGTGAAATCTTATCTTATGTTTTCCTTAGCCAGATGACCTTAGAATTCCTGGAGGCCAGGCCGTAAATTAGGGGAAGTTCTAAGTTTTTCTGAGTGTCCAAGATAGCTCCTGGTTGGAGGAGCAAAAGCCAGCCTTATTTGAATAAATTAAATACAAGAGGATAAAACTTTCTACATAGAAGTAACAAATCAGATTTGCTCTTGCAACTCTCCGAAGATGTCTTTGTACGTCTTTGCTTTCTTTCCTTCTCTCCATTTATGTCAGGTAAATGAATGTATGTCTCCATTGTTCTGCAGTTTCTGGTGTAGGTTTGTGCATTGTCTTACTTCTAAGTTTATGCATTGTCTTATATTGGATTAAACTCTGTAATTCTGTGACGTCCACACGCATTGCTGGTTTTCCTTGTGGCCACACGAAGCTCGCCGGGAGGGCTGGGGACCAGAGGAAGAGAGACAGCCAAACTTTTTCCAAGTTAACTATTTTAGAATAATTTCTTCCTTAACATTTGGGGGCTCGTGCCGGTTCTGGAGTCTCGGCGGGCGGCTGTTTGGTCCTGATTGATCCGTTTCGGTTTGACGCTTCGGTGTGGTAAGACAGTATTTGATTATTTTTTAGTTGTCTGAAGCGCCGTGTGGTTGGACCGGGGCTGATTTGCTGTGTGCGGCCTCACAGAGTTCAGAAGCTGCAGAGGTAGATAGAATCCCTCCTAAAAGAGTCAGTTGTTTAAAGATTTGAATCAATACACATTACAGGGAACTTTGGCTAGTTCAAACAGAGCCTTTACGTTAACTCTGATTTTAAGCTGGGTTTCTTATTTATATTCTTTACCCTGATAATCCATGCCTGTGCCTCAATAAAAGAATTTCGGGTGTCTGTGTATTAATTAGCAGGGGCTTGTATCAGCCTGGAGATTATGGCTCATCTCCAGTAGACTTATAATTAATTATTTGGGTTAATTGGACCGAGTTGTATCACTCATGGAAAAAGGACTAATAGCAGGTTGGATCTAGCCTGACGTAGTCCTACTCAATTCTAGTCAGAATATGAGTCTGATACTGCTCCATAGAGCTGTGATTATGGGGCGTGTTTCGAACGAACCAGGAAAAAAAATGCCTCTGCACTCAATTGGATAGAAGAGCAACGGAGTGCGTGACGTATGTTAAGCGAGGCATAGTTGTTGTCCACAAAAATCAAAGCGTGCAGTTTCACGCCTAGAATAAGAAGATGAGCCTTGATCGCGTTTCTCTGTTCCTCTTTTAAAATAAATTTGCTGTCGATATCTTCTAGAACAGACCTAATAGCAGAATCTACTCACCTCAACTCTCCAGCGGCAGCCATTATTGTTGTCACCCAAGCGCGCTTTGGTCACGTGGTTGATTACGTTACTCTTGATCATCTGTCCATCATCGTATAAAGCCCGCCCGGACAATTTGATTGGATCGCCTGACAGTGGGCGATAATACTCGCGCTACTATGGAGCAGAGCCAGACCGAACTTCCCGAACTCAAACCTTGTGGGCGGGACTAAGTTCGGACTGGCACCCAGGCTAGGTTGGATCACCTTTCTCTGGCATTCTGAAT